GGGGGGGGGGGGGGGGGGGGGGGGGGGGGGGGGGGGCTTTCTTCAATCCTACCCTACATGTCATTTTAACTGTTGGGGACTCATTTCCTACGGTTACCTTTATTCTGTGTCAGTGAATGTGTATCTGAAATGTATCTGCTGTGCAGATGATATTCACAGGATATTCACATTAGCGGTGATGTTAGGGCTCAGCACAGGGTTGTGCTCTGTGTGGCTGTAACGGATTCTTGTTTTGTAGAGCATGTGATCAGAGTCACAATGACGTGGTGGAGAGATTCGCCCGTGGCGTTCTGGGCTCCATCCCCCACGATTCCATCATCCTGACCCGGGGCGACCTGCCGGGCAACACAATGCGGTACTTGCACTACTGCCAGGGGCTGCGTCCGGACCTGCGGCTCATTGAACAGGAGGTCTGGCAAACTAAGTCCTGACTGGCCGTTTTGCGTTGACTGTCTAGCACGAGGCACTTTCATTGGCCACGCTGGCTCGAGAAGGTGAGCATGACTGGCTGTGCTGTGTTTCCTCCTCCAGGTGATGACGTACAGCTGGTACGTAGAGAAGCTGGGCCGCCATCATCCAGGGGTCCGCTTTCCCGGGCGCTTTTGGGACCCCTTACGCACACAGGAGAAGAACACGTTCAGTCTAGAGCAGTTTCTGCTTCACAACTCACAGTAAGAGTCATCTTGCTTTTAAAGCAGCTGAACAGGCAAGATGCAGAGGTTGCAGAGTGACAGGGAATCAGTTTAGAAAAGCCTAAAGAATCCTTAAGTCCTTCAAGGCCAAGAGTGTGATATATTTCCTACCACCAGGCGGCAGTGTTTGCTTGTCAAACAATAACATCTGAAAGGGGGCAAGACTGACCAACAGGATTAACCTTGAGTGCAGCTTGGGGCTTTAAGGGAAAGTGTAAGAAATGCCCTGAGTGTTTGTGTGATTACTGCATGAGAAGCCCTCTGTGGCCTTTGGATTATTCAAAATGGAATGATTTTGATATGGCCAGTGCTCCATATCCCCATAGAAGTGTGTGATAATTAAAAGACATTCCAGCTAGACTAAGGGAAGTTCTTGAATGTAGAGAGGTATATATTCCTGGCTAATTTGTTAGTTCTGCCGCCCTCAGAGTGCTAATCTGTCCTCTGTCGCATGTCCACAGGAGGAACGTGTTCACCTGCATCGGCCTGCCGGAGGGAGACCCTAGCTGGGAGAGGAGCTTCTCCCGCTGGCCCTGGGGCATCTGCGACCAGCTGGTGCCCATCCAGACCCGCTTCCACCCCGAGGAGTGGGCCCAGCGCACCAGAGACATGTACAACTGGACCGAGCCACACGACAGGTGCGGTGGTCAGCATGGCGATCTGTGTGAGGGGGGCGGGGCTTGCCGCGGAGGGCCAGCTCTTTGTCTTAGATTGCAGCTGCTCCTGGGAGCGACGGCGTTGTTGTTCGCCCGGCCGCACGTCACAAACAGCTGACTTCATTCGGACATGTGCCCTCTGCAGCTTCCAGCCCAGCTCCTGGGAGAAGGTCGCTAACGAGGAAATGTGGCAGGCCAGGTAAGGTGCCACACGGCCTGGCTGCGCCTATGCGGCACCCCTGCTTCTGCTCATGGCTAACGGCCGTTCTGCTGGATTCAGGATGAAGACAGCCTTCTTCTTGTTTGAGCTGGCAGAGAAGGTTTCAGAGGAGAGCAAGGCCCGGCTCTATGAACTATCCTACCGTGTGAGTTCAGTTACTGGCACTGTTACATATCATACACAAACAGCGGGGCCAGTTATATATGTATACATTTTAATAGAGTCTGGATCTACTCAATGTTTATATGTTTTTATACAATATTTATCGACTGAGACTCCGGCTGTGCTCTTATACTTGGAAATTCTTTTCTGTACATATTATGGATATTGCAATTGACTTACGCAGTTCTTTCGAATCCATAAGTGTTTGCTATACAAAGTTACTCTGCAAATGTCCGTCCTCTTTTTGTGATTGACAGTTATATAAGGAAATCGTAGACATGCATGAGAATCACCCCACCAATTGGGACAAGAACCTGGCGCTGGCAAGTGAGAGGCTGCTGAGAGTCGGGGGGCAGGGCCACGACACTGACAGCCTGCTGACTGAGAGCATCGAGTCTTTCGGCCGCTACTTGGACAAGGAGCCCACGGACCCGCAGGCCGAGGCCATCCACACCGCCGTTAACCACCTGCACAAAGAGAGGCAGAGGCTGAGAGCCAGCCGGAGCAGCACCTGAGGCCAGGGTCATGTCCATCGATCACTTTGAGGCGGCCGGAGCCTGTTCAGTGAGCTTTTCCTGTGGGGCCAAACCACTTCTCATGTGTGAGGGTTTCATGTATGAAACTGGCACTGAAGGCAGATGTATGATATGTGTGACATAATGGGGGGGGGGGGGGGGGGCACTCAGGTGGGTCGAATCAGTGGCCATGACAGACTTTTCGAAAGCCAATCCCTGTTGCTTGTTATGGAAATATCTAGAGCAGTGCTTCGCAATGCGGTCCTCGGGGACCCACAGACAGTTCACGTTTTTGCTCCCAGCCAGTTCCTGCGAAGGAAGCAAAATTGTGGACTGTCTGGTAGAGAGCTTGGAGGCAACAAAAACATGGACCGGCTGTGGCTCCTCGAGGACCAGATTGGTAAACACTAATCTAGAACATATGCCTTTAGGAGCGGGACTTGTGCAGCAGGCCGGCAGGCCGGGCTTTACCAGGCGGTCACTTTAAACGGTCCGGCTGGCCTGCCACTCTGGGTTTTATGGCTGTAATTGTGGCCCCCTGGGACTGCCCGCTGTCCACTTCTCCTCTGACATGTTACTGCCGCCCTCAGAGGGGGTCGGGGATTAGAGCGGCCAGTTAATCTGGGGCAGACTTGCACTAGTGTGGGGCACTTACGCCCCCATCTTGCTGTTGTGATTTAAACGCAAAAAGCTAATGGATGTGATGAGGTTTGGTTTTTTTGACTTGGCACTAATCCCTGGTGGATTTAAAGGAAATATGAAATGTCAGAGCCAGAGACCCTTTTAGAGGCTCCCTGGATGCTGGCCTGTCCGCCCCGTGACGGACTCCCCCAGGGCATTCTGGGAGCACAGGAGCTCAGGTGCAGGCATACCTCTGACTGGACCGGAGGCTGCATGGCAGACTGGCACGCTGGCCTGGATCCCCCAGGTCAGGCTCTGTGGTGTCACTTGCTGGTTTGGTCCAGATCACTAAAGGTTGCTAGTCCTTTTAAAGGGACTAACTAGGTTAAAAACAAGCACCAGCTGTTTGATGATGAGGCTTTGCAGGTACTTCCGGAATGCTTAACACAGGGAACCTTGACTGGTTTTATTCAATGGTCTGTGAATGTTTTTGTAGATGGTATGTGACTGTCACATTTTGCTCATCCTGCCTTTGCTGCCTGTGCAACATGCCTGGGTCCCCAGGTAACCTCATAAACTGTGTTCATCTCAGCAGCCTTCAGTACAAATTGCATTTTCCGTATGTTACCCATAATTCCCTGTTTTTTTAATGTCAATGTCCCAGATGGCCAAACGATAAACTTTCAATTTGGAGGGGTGCCGATGTGTATGGGGACGCTACCAGAAGCACAGTCCTGGCTGGCTGTTTATATTATGGTATGACTGAACAAATAAAATACGCCAAGAAATGGTTGATAAAAAGAAAAGTGTAATAAACGTGTCCACGTGTCATCACCTGCGTCCGTGTCCCGCTGCATCCCTGCGCTCATATATCATGCCCCTAGTGGCCTGCAGAGGGAAGAGCGCGCTGGCCAGTCAGCCTTAAAGCTCGCTTCCTGAGACTCTGACTCCCCATCGACTTCGGAAGTCGTCCTGTTCGGCGTGGAGCGACGCTGCCAGGGTCTGCCCACCCACTCATTTAAATAACTAAACGAGAAGAAGTGGAAGGCGAACGTGACTCTTTAAGTGAAGGATGAATGAGCTGCTGCTGCGTTCAGTGCCTGCCGCTGCTCATTAATGTGTCACATGTACTGCTCTGAGTTGGGCATGCTGTTTGCTATAAAGATAAGGCTTCATCCCTTTTCAGACAAGTGTACCAATGTAGATAAATCACAACTTTTCAAATTCGTAATCCTTTTTAAAAATTCCTTCTTTACTCATCCTGGCACCATGTGACATTGTGAATTAAACGATAGCTGTACTTGGGTGACCCAGACCTATTGGCTCTGTGCTGCATGACGTGTGCACGTATAGGAACAGCCCCCCCCCACCCATCACCGGCAGAGCAAACGGCTGCTTCTGACCCTTGGGGCGTTTCACTCTTGGAGTCGGCCAGCGACGGGGAAAATAGAGACCTCATCAAAATGTAATTTTCCGTGAGTTGTAAGAGAAGATCGGTCCGGTCACGGATGGGTCTGTCGCCTTGCGTCATTCCAGGAAAAAAAAAAACCCTGGATTAAACACTCTAATAAAGATGCTTTGCTCTGTATCTCTCTCTCCTCTTGGCTGGTCTTTTCTGCGTAGATGGCAGTGTGCTTGTGTGGGCACCTTCTTCAGGGCCAAATGCTCCACATCAGACTGGGACTTTGACCCATTTCCTTGGGCTTTGTCTCAGGCCTGTAGCAGGACAAGAAAGTCGTCCGTAGGGAGCAGCGAAGGTCCAAACTCCAGATGGGGGGGGGGTTTGGACGGGTGATTAATGTGGAGTTCTGGCTGCCGTCACTAAGCCCCCATCTCAGTCACCCCCTCATGCAATGAGTCCCCATGAAGATTGAGTTGTGTGCAGTGCGTTGGGGCCACACTGGGTGTGTGATGCAGACATTTCAGTGATGACACGCTGGCTGGGGGTGAGTCACACAGTTGGCCTTGAGCTGAGGAGCCCAGTGGTGTCCAGTAATAGCAGAATATCTCCCTGCCCAGGTCCGCTCTCTTTTCATCTCGATTCAATCCCTCCGATTCCTCCGTGGGCTTCCTGCTCTCTCTCCCCCCCCCCCCCCCCCCCCCCCCCCCCCCCCCCCCCCCCCCCACTTCTCTTCCTCGCTCTCCCTCTCTGTCTCTCACTCCCCTCCCCTGCGTGCTCGCAGCTCTGTCGCCGTGAGTGTCAGTTACCCGCCCCGAGTCGGCGAGCTGCTGGGGGATTGTGGGAACCCGTGGAATCGCCGTGACCACGGATGCAGGCAGGGAGCCACGCAAACGCTGGAATGTGGGGCGTGTGAGCAGATAAGGGCCGTGAGCCCAGCCAGGGAAGGGGGGAGCGGGAGGCAGCGAGCGAGCGGGGTGTGGGGGGGGGGGGGGGGGGGGGGGGGGGGGGGGAGCGAGGGATGCAGGCCCATGAATGGGACTGGAGAGACGGCACCGTAAACAGCCAGGGAGAGAATAGCAGTGGAGAAAAGCATGTGAGAGATGGAAAGCATTGAGAGTGTGTGTGTGTGTGTGTGAGAGAGGGAGAGAGAGAAAGGGGGGGCACGTTGGAGATGAGAAGCCAGCCTTATTCCTCTTTGCATTTCATTTACATCCCTGGCCGTATCGTCCAATCGGATTGGGAGCAAAGCCCAGGGCTTAGGAGAGGAATAAAGAGAGAAAATGCCTTTGCTGCTCTCATCCTTGCCTGATAATACCCTTCTGTTTCTTCGTGCTCCTCTCTGCTCTCTATAGGCAGATACTGTCCGAAATGCCAGAGGAGAAGCGACACCTCTGCTTGCTGCACGTCTCAGATAGACGGAGCGAGGAAGCAGGCTGAAAGGACGGCTTTGGCTGCCGGGCGCACCGCGCTGCGGGGGGGCATGGGGCGGGTCGGCGTGCGGGGCTGCCCGGAGCTGCTTCCGCCTCTCGCCTTCTGCACACTTTGCAGGCTGGCCCCGAAGCGGGGACACCCGTTTTAACGGCTCGTTTTTGGCGTGACAGCTGCCGTATCCCAGAACCTCTAACAAGGCGCGACGTCGGGATGAAGGCAGAGCCGCTCTCTGAACTCTGCTCTTAATTTATTACCACTTTCCGTAGAATATTTCATCATTGAAGATAACGGTCGCTGTTGTATTACTTTTTTGAAGACTTGATGCCTGCAGTAACGTAGTACTACCTGTTGCATTTTGAAAAATTATGGATTTTAAAAAGTGCAACACATGTAATTAAAGACTTCTGTACCGTCAGGTTGTATGCCAATGGCATGATTATTCATAATAACTAAAAATAACTTCCATTTTTTTAACCTGTTGCCCAGCGATGACAGATCACTATAAACAAGCCTTTCCTTTACAATCATGGTGGTTGTTTCACAAAACCTAACTGCGGACAGCCATGTGTATCCAATGGATGGATGGCCGTGTGACTCCCGTGGTCTTACAGGCCAACCTTACATCACTGTCTGACCATCCTGCCCTGGGCTGTAGCTCCTCCACGGTGTGTCAGTGCTACTGATGACTTTTTCTGTGATGTTGCCATAGAAATTGATGACTTTGCCGGTGGTTTGAGTACAGCTCTGCACAGCTTTTGTTAGTGTATGTTAGCACTGCCCGGCCAAAAAAAGATCATTTGAATTTTAATCAGCAAATACTTCAGAGCTATTGATCATTATTACAGGTAGCAATGTTATGCAGCAATAAAGTGAAGTCAGCTGAGTACCTGAATCTCCTGAATGGTCAGGTTATCCCATCAATGAATTTTTTCTTCCCTAATGCCATGGCCATATTGCAGGACGAGAATGCCAAGATTCATTGGGTCTGAATCCTCAAAGAGTGATTCAGAGAGCGTGAGGAATCATTTTCACACATGAAAGGGCCACCACAGAGTCTTGACCTCAACCCCATTGAAAGTCATTGAGATGTCCAGAAGAAGATTTTGCAGAGTGGTTCAACTCATCAATGCAAGATCTCGCCAAGAAATTAATGCAAATCTGGATGAAAAAAAAATGTTGAGATCTTGCATAGTGGAAATAATGCACTGACAAAAGTGCATGATGATCAAGGCTAAAGGCAGCCCAGCGAAATATTAAAGTGTATGACTTTTTTTTTTTTTTTTTTTTGAAGTTTTTGGCCAGGCAGTGTATATAATCATACAAAAATCAAAAACAAAAAAAATTCACTGGATTAATACTTGTCCAACATATTTGTATATATTGTATCTTAGATTCAAGAGGAGGATATTAAACTTAAGAGGGTGTCTTTAGTGTTCCACGCTTCCCTGTGTAAGAGTGGCTTCCTGTCTCCATGTCCCTCAGTGTGCCTTGCTGTATTGTGGCTGTGGGTAGCCTATCTGGAGGCCCCAGGGATGTGATGACGGGCGCCGTGCGGTTTCAGTGCCACTAACCCAGCCATAGCTGCCTGCCTGCCTTCTGTACATGCTGCTGGATGATAGCTTGACCACAGGCCTTCGGCTGTATCCCCCTCTGGCACTGTAGGTTCTTTCTGCCCCCCCCCCCATCTTGGACTCCAAACTCCTTTATAGCCCCATCCTTACCTCTCCTCATCCTCAGTACTCCCTGCTTTTTCATGTAAAACCTTCCTGCACATTGAATCCAGGAGCCAGGGGGTGTTTTGGGGGGGGGTGGGGCATTTATCTTTCCCTTTTTAACCTTGGTAATGCTTATTAATTGAGCCTCCTCTCCTGGAGGGTCGCTGTGCTTTGCTGTGGGGCATTGCCACCAGCAGATGGCTTGCAGTCAGTCCTCCTTCCTCTCTCTGCTTGTGTAGAGTGTGTTTCTGTATGTTTTTAGTGCTGTGAGGACAGTGAAACGATATCTTAAGTCAGTGACTATCATATCCTCCATGGTAACTGGTTTTGACTTTCCCCCCAAAAATCGTTTCTGCCCCACCCTAGTGCCTTACTCCAGGTGGGATTGGGGGTGAGGGCGACCGGCTTTGGTCAGCTTTGATACGGTTCCACACTCCTCATATCCCACTCAGGCCTTGGCAACAAATCACATTAAATCGTGCCGTAAGCATCGAACACCGAGTTACCGGACCCTGAGCTGTGCGTCTTGCCACACCGAAGCCCAGAGACCCGGAAAGACAGAGTCACGAGTGTCCCCATAGTGAGGGGGGGGGGGGGTGTGGGCACCGGCTGCATGCTGGATTTATTGCTCCCTGCACCCCCCAAGCTGCCAGGAAGGGAGGGCAGAAAAGGAACCACCCCCCCCCCCCATTCTGCCCATCCTCACATGGGTGCATTTAAATAATTGAGGGGCTAAACAGCCACATTAGGCATGTCTGCGCAGCGCCTACGGCCCCCGGAACGTGCCGGAACACGCCTGCGGTGACGTCTTTGTCGAACCGGCAGTCTCTGAGTGTGTGTAGGACAGGCAAAGGGGGAGCACTTTCGCCGGTTGACGTGGCTCCCCTCCTCATGCCGCCCCCCCCCCCCCCGCTTCTCTCCCTCAAGGTAGTAATTTTGTGCCACGTTAAGAAATTCAGCCCCATTCAGCGCGCCGGCCAGCATTTCCATAATTTGCTGCCTCCTCGGACTGTTGCGGGCCGGCGTGTCTGAGTAGGGGCCCGCGGACAGGCGGGGGCAGCGTGCCGGCTGCCCGTCTGTCACGGCCCGATGCTGTCAGACTGAGGCGGACCGGTGCCCCCCACCCGCCGCCGTTCCCTTACCTCGTGTCAGAGCGCGGATGCCAGCCTCCTGTCTGCTGACGTATTACAAACACGGTGGTGCTGCGCAGCCCGTATGCCCACTGCCAGCACGTGAGGCTGACCGCGGATGCGTACGTGCCTGCGGCGAGCTGCGTGGTCACCGGGGAGTGCCCCGCGTGCTGACGCGGACTCGCACTAATCTGAAAGCTCCCAGTTTACAAATCGAAATCCCGCTATCCAATTCAGCTAATAGAAGGACTTGAATGGGATAACAAGATATTGTGCAATGCCTTGTATAAAGGCTGTAATGCCGTGTGGGTGCCTAGTGTGGAGCCTCTGAGGCCAGGCCCCTGCCGGCTGCACCGATTATGGGGCCCTAGCCGCTGCCTCGGCATGGGAGGGGGCCACCGGTTTCTTCTCGGGGTGTACACTGCTCAGCCATCTACCTCCAGCAAGTCTGTGTGTCCTGCCACCGAGCTAGTGGGCACACAGAAACGCGGGGGGAGAGTACTGCGAGGGCCCCCTGCCAGGGGTGCCTACCATAACCGTGTGTGGCGTGTGTGTTTGTTATAGTGTGCGATTGTCTTATAAGGGACAGGGTGCCTATGACTAGGTGTGTGTTTACGTATGTTTGGGGGTATATTTAGGTCATGTTCATGCACGTGAGTATGTTTGTGAGAGGCTGTGTCAGTCTATACATCTCCAGAATGCCTACAGGTGGACAGCATTATTTTGGGGGGTAATTTGAGTTGGTGTGAGTGTGGTGCCCCTGCTCCTGTGCTCAGAGTGTGGGGTTTCAAAATATTATCCTTAATTAATCGGCGGCTTCCACACAGGTCAAACAAAGCAAGGGCGCTTGAAACTGCTATGAAGGAAGATGTGATCCCATTAGGACTGC